GTGTGTGTGTGTGTGTGTGTGTGTGTGTGTGTGTGTGTGTGTGTGTGTGCGTGTGTGTTCGTCGTCGCGTTTCGTGGACGCGTCAATCAAGATTTACCTGTTAGAATGTCTTCTGTGTTACCTCGCCGAGCGGCATCGATTTAAAAAATTGATAACGCATAGATGCTTGAGGTTAAAAAAAACCAGTTCAGAACGAAAAGTGACTTTTGTTTGTTCAGGGAAGCATTCGTGCTTGCTGCGCACGTGTAATGGCGGGCACGGTGTGTCAGCGAAGCGTCTCCCTCTATTCCCCTTTCTCTCTTTCTCTCTCCCGCCGCACGCTGACGCCAGCACACGCCGACATTGCCCGGGCAAGTAAAGGGTTAGTGTGTGACGCTTAGCCGTAGTGACAGGCTGATAGCCGCCTGAGTTTAATTTCGTCAACATTTACCGTAGTGAGAGACGTGGCGTGTTACGCAACGTCGCCGGTGTCCGTCCCTCCTCGGGGTCGCACGCACGCACCCACGCACGCACGCACGCACACGCACGCACGCACGCATTCCCTTAAACAATACACCCTTCCCGCACGCACGCACGCACATATCCCCCGCACACACGCTCTCACATACGCTTTCGCGCACGCATGCCCTCGCCGGCGCACGCACGTACCCCCCGCACACACGCTCGGCTAGTCAAACAGTGTGCCTTGGGTGAATGATCAGTCATCGGTGAGGTTTGGCTCCCACGCCGCTATATAACTGCACATGTGGCGGAGGCAGCGCCTATATATGCCGACTGTTTCCGCTAGCCGTGACCAACCGCATCTCGCCGTGCAATTAAAGCCGTAATTTACATCTACGGCCCGACCGACGTCGGCGTGGGTGGGGCAAGTACAGTCGGCCATTCTTCGCCGTTACGTAAGATGACGCTCGCTTGTGCGGCCGCACTTGTTTATCCTGCAGTGTTCTGTAGGGCCGTAAAATAGGACAAGATCGTGTGCGTGTGTGTGTGTGTGTGTTGCCCGTGGGTGCCGCATTGTCTACTGTTGTGCAATGCTGTGTCAGTCAGAGCGCACGTGTAGTCGTAGTGAGTGTATCGCGTTGTTGTAGCAATACTCATGGGGAAAAGATAATGAGTTACTTAATAGACTCCGTGGAAGAGGGGGAGGAGGTTGTCGGAGGGAGGGGGATTAGTGGAGATCACTGTTGGGGTGAATGGCCCAGGAGGATGGACCGGCGCTGCTGAGCCTTATGAGGGCCCGGGTTATGCAGCTTGAACTAATTACTAATTGGCTTGATAATTAGACACTTCGCGAATTAGCGTGGCCGTGCTGTTGATCCCCTCTTCAGCATCCTTTCTCATCCTTCTCAGCTTCCTTATTCCGCGTTTCTCTTGTGCCTTTTTCCTCTGCTTTCTTCATCCACCCTCCCTATTCATTCCTACTCGAAAGTTACCAGTTGCGGAGCGGGCTGCCATTGCCAATATTTCTCACAGCCTCTCATCGCGGTCTCTCATCTCTTCACCCCTCGCGACATTATTTCCAACACCATTACTCGGCCTCGCATCGCGGTCTGCTATATAACCTATTGTAAAATCATGTAAGATCTACCCATTCCTACTCAAAAGTTACCCGTCGCGACATCTCCAACGCTTCCCACGCAGCTTCTCATCGCGGTCTCTCTTCCCCAACGTTAATCAGCCTCCTCTCATCACGGTCTCTCTTCTCTTCTCTCTCTGCAGACTTCAGCTTCGCGATGTATCCGCCGTCGATGATCTGCGCAGCGAGCATCGGCGCCGCCGCGCACGGCCTCCTCACGAGCAGCAGCGGCACCAGCGCAGCCGAGATGAACGCGCTGCTGCACCGGTTATCGAAGCTCTCCAACATGGAGGTGGTGAGTGTGAAGCCATAGACGACAATGACGATGATGATGGTGGTGGTGGTGGTGGTGGTGGTGGTGGTGATGACGATGATGATGATGGTGATGCTGGTGATGATGATGATGATGGTGGTGGTGATGATGACGATGATGATGATGGTGGTGGTGATGCTGTTGATGACGATGATGATGATGATTACATTTAGTTATTAGTTACATTACACGTGAAGTTGCGTTACGTTACGTTACGTCACGTCACGTTACGTTACATTACACACTAGTTGTTGAGAAGGGCTGCGTCCAATCTGTTTTACTGGTATGAACATTGGAGGGGGGGGGGAGAAAGAGAAATCATAAGTAAGAATGTGGAGAACGTCAGACTATAAAAGTAGCAGAATGGGGGAATAATGAGGAATAGAACTTAGGAGGAATGTACGTGGCAATAGAATGTGGAACAGCTAGGAGGGGAAAAAGAGGCGGCAAGAACAAGAGAAAGTGGAGAAGGTGAGAAAGGACGTATCGAGAGCGCGAGAAAATCGTTGTCCGTTCTACTGCGTACGTCTTCTGCTCCATTTAATGTAAATCGAAATGCCTACGAGGCTTATTTCAGGAATGCGCGATAAAAGAATCTTTTCGCCGCTTCTCGGCCCGCTCGAGTCTGCGTTCCTGCCTGCTTGCGAGATTTATGCCGACCCTGTCTCAAGGGGCAAGTTCCGGAGCCGCGCTAAAGTAAACGCGCGCATGGACCAGCCTCAATATTTGCATTGCTTCCAAACTACAAGTATCGGCATCGCTAATCACTGTGTGTGTGTTCTGGTGGCCTGACCTGGCTGTGCAGATGGCCTCCTGTCTAACGGGTGCATTCTCCCTATATTCATTCTTCATTCCATTTTGCGCGCAATAAATATAGCAAAAATGTATTAGCATAATAAATATATTAGTATAAATATTAATATTATGAAATTATTATTGAAATAAAAACTCAAGTTCATATCGCCTCCCTGAGTAGAAGATTTCCAGATTATATTGTTGCTTGAAATCGGCGTGTTTATAACTGGCATCTCTCTCCACGCATGCGCACCTCTGACCACATATCCTTTCTCATCGAGACATTCTCGCCAAAGTGTGGCACGGTGAACCAAGTGAATGCGCGCTCGCGCATTTGTCATTGAGAAATTCCAAACGGGGGCGCCGCGCGTGCCCACGCGCCGCTAGGCGGCGCTGCGCGCCGACTTCCTGCTGAAACAGCACACCCTGTGAATCTGTAACCCGAACAAAAACTGTAGTAAAAGGCGGCAATCGGCGTGCTAAAGGTCTATCAGCAACACATGTTGTGCCCGACGCAGGACCGCGTTTTCCAAGGGAAAGTGTAACATATACCCCGCTCATTTATAGTAGGCGCATCGCAGGGGAATACACCAGCCAGCCGTTAGTCCGTCTGCTGCTGCTGCTGCTGCTGCTGCTGCTGCTGGGCCAAGCGCTGTTCAAGGATGAACTGTGGGTCCGGTTGCTGGGCGGATCGGCGCGCGAGCAAAAACGCGCTAACCCGCAGCAGCTGGGTGTAGGCGTGCGGGCGCGCGCTTACGTCGTTATTGTTCTCCGAGTGCGCGCGTCGAGGTGCCCGGATGTAGACAGTCGTACCGGTCCTCGAAGTTTGTCTTCTATAGTTTACAATTCAAGTTCTATGGCGGTAGCTTCATCAGATTAAGATGAGTTAGGATTGAGAGAAATTTGGCTAGATCCTTGCTGCTACTGCTGCTGTTGCTGTTGCTGCCACCGGCGCCGCCGCCGCCGCCGCTGCTGCTGCTGCTGCTGCTGCTGCTGCTGCAGATAGCGCATTGTTGCACTGCAGCTGGCCGTGTCACGTTCTTAGTATACAAGCGAGGGAGTAGAAGTGACCATCGTAGGGTGGTCCGCACGGCCGGTCGCCGTCCGTAAACAGTTTGTTTCCACTGAGTGGTCTTAATTATTCTGTTTGCCGGCTGGTGGCGCAGACGGGAGGAAGTCGTTTGTTTCTGCGCGCACATCGCCATCCCTGGGCATCGGATACGCTCCGTGTATAGCCGGGCAGTGTGCTGTTGGGTGGGTGGGCTACGGACCCCTGTGCGAGCGCTCTACGCTCTACCGTGTACGAACATGCGTAAATGTGTATTAGTTCCTCACTCCCCCTTCTCTTCCGCGGTGGGTGGGTGCCCGCTGGCGTGCCATCGCCGCCTCACACGCGCGCGCCCGGGATGGTAGAGCTCCCTTTATCTACGATTGTGACGAGCGGTCGCAAGGGTGTCCGATTTTCCTCTTGCCGCCTTTATCTGAGCTTCGCAATGCGAACAATGCGGCAAAAACAAAGGGGTAACGTCGGTGCGCAGACATAATAATAGACTATACGGTGCGAATTACCGGCCGTCGGCCGCCTCGCCGGCGACGTCTGCTACGTACGTCGAGGTTTTTGCCGCGAATCGTGGTGTGCGATTCCGCCGCCTCGTGTCGCTAGCGGCGCGTGCGTGAGTGCCTCCGTGAGTGCGTGCGTGAGTGAGTGCGTGCGTGCGGGCGGTGCTGCCAGGGACCCACAGCTAGGCACGCGGGGGTGCAAACCGCCTCGTATATTATACAAATCGTTGCATTACGCCAATCTTTACAAATCGAAGTATGATCATGAAGACCACCTGCAATCAGGCAGAAGGATTAACCCACGTGCCGTACGTGCGTGTGTGTGTGTGTGCGTGCGTGGCTGCGTGCGTGTGTGCGTGCGCTGTGCTGCGTGTGAATCTTGTCGTGGTATATTATTAGCTCATCTGACCTAGTCAGATGCAGCTTGTAGAATCGCATGATCGTCCGTCCGTCCGTCCGTTCGTCCGTCCGACCGTCCGTGCGTGCGTGCGTCAACAGTCGGGCACAAATCTTAACCGCTCGACGTACGGTCACGATATTCGGGACGTGGGGGGGTAATCCGAAAACGAGTTGGGGTGTCGAAGCTGGGGGTCAAAGGTCAAAGGTCAAGAGGTGTAAAAGAAGGGAACATTCCCTCCTTAACTTAAGGTATAGGGAGGAAATGCAGAATTGCGGCACAAATCTAAACGGCTCGACCTAGGCTCGTGATAGTCGGTGTATAGCATCATGGTAGGAAAAGCCATCACTGTGCCGAAATTGGAGGTCACAGGTCAAAGGTCAATGGGCACAGGGCAGATTTTAGACATTTTCTGAGGACATGGTCTGACGGAGTGATTGAAAAACTTTTTTGTTTCAGCGGTGACCTAGCATCTTTATAGCTTTATTGAAAGGACCATGAAATGTACTTTCTGCTGACATGCGAAGAGTAAGTGTCGGATAACCGTTTGACCCTCAAGAGGCGGGATAAACATGGATTTGTTTACTGTTAGAAAGAATTTGACTGCCGGGTTTGCTAGTAGAATCTATACATGCCTAGATGTATGAGGCTACAATGTCACAGTGAAGTTTCAAAAGCTCAATTTGGTTGAAGAAGGTTTATGCTCCTTAAATCGTATAATTTCTATGGCATTCTGTACTGTCAGTGTGTTACATGTAACGTATGCCACTGCCAGTGGCCACTGCCAGTGGCCACTGCCAGTGCATGTGGTGGTGGTACTGTGTAGTTTTTGCCTGTGTTAATTAGTTACAGGTGGCAGCTCTCTATTCTAGCCTGTAGGCTTGCGTAGGTAAATGGATGAGTGCTTACCTATTCTGTCTTGCAAATAGTTGTTGCTACTACGTACGATGGGAGCTTCCATCTTTAATCTGAAGACACTTAAACGTACGCGCATCTCGTGGCAACTTTCATAACAATCCCAACGAATATTCCTTTGAGAAGGTTCCTGATACCATCCCTGTGCCTTCCACTGTTTCGGCGTGTATGTGACATTTGGGACTAACAGGGTTTACTAGAATCCCACCACTCCACTACAGAGTCACCGCAGTAGACGTTAGATGAGCGCTGTCGCTCCGCGGCACTTGTTATATGCTGCCAGCCGGCCTGCGTTCTGACGAGGATCGTCTGCCACCTTGTGGCAACAACAGTAAGGGAGTTCCGTTTCGCTAGACGCACAAATCAAACTGTGTTGTGTAACTGTGGCGAACTATCAACGCGAGATGCGGTTAAGGGATGTGATCCCTGGCAAGGGTTAACGAAATCCTTAAATGTCCCCGCCAACTCTTAATATATAGCAAGAGTGCCTGTTCCGTTCTCGTTCTCTCTCGCTCTATCTCACACCCTCCCTCCCTCCCTCCCTCCATCCCTCCCTGCCCTCTCTCGCTCTCGCTCTCTGCTTTTCCGCAAGTAGTGTGGCTCATTGCTCATTAATACAGTGGTCTCGGCTGATTGGGCTGCTGCCAGTGGTCGCTAACTTCCCGTGTTCCGGTGTAGGCTGACTTTGCGGTGTAACTCGCTCAGAGTGTTCGAGTTACAGCATTGACAGGCAGCAGCGGCGTTTATAGTGTGGGAACCAGAGTCGGCAAGGCGTCTTGTTCTCATAGCGCAGAGGATGCTTGCTTCGGTGGCGAGCGAGCGCTGCACTGCACTGCACTTCCGCATGGCATAAATACTGCAGGGCCAGCTGGGAACGCTATCTGTGACCCCTGCTTCACATCTGCTAGCCCTCCCCCTCTCTCTCCCCACTCCCCCTCTCCCTCTCTCGCGCTCACACTCGTACTCGCGCTCCCTCTGTCTGTGCGTGTGGAAACCATTCCTTCAAGTGTGAGCTACAGGGCATCCGCTTAAAGCTGCACCGTTACTCACCCCGCCCCCTCCTTAAAGGTTGTTGGGCGCGCCTGATTAAGACTAGCGATAAGCGAGCTCGGCTTCGTAAATAAATTAAAACTGCTTATAAACGTGCAGGCGCGGTCGTTGCTAAGAGCATCGGAGGAGGACGTGTTGCTCTGCCTATACGGGGGCTAGGCGCGCCTACCCCGTCTCGTAAACAACCCTAGCCAGATTCGCAAAGCGAGAGGTGGCGTATAGTGGCTGCCATAGACAGCACGCGAATTATCCCCCCCCACACACACACACGCGCGCGCGCGCGCGCGCGAGAGAGAGAGAGAGAGAGAGAGAGAGAGAGAGAGAGAGAGCCTCCATACAATATTGTGTGTGTGACGGAGCACCTTCCCCCACTCTGTATCCCTGGTTATCCCATTTATCATCCTTGGTTACCCCTCACCGCATCCCTGGTTACCCCATCCCGCATCCCTAGGTACCCCACTTTGCATCCCTGGTTATCCCATTTATCATCCTTGGTTACCCCTCACCGCATCCCTGGTTACCCCATCCCGCATCCCTAGGTACCCCACTTTGCATCCCTGGTTATCCCATTTATCATCCCTGGTTACCCCATTCCGCATCCCTGGTTACCCCATCCCGCACCCCTGGCTATCCCATCCCGCATCCCTGGTTACCCCATCCCGCATCCCTAGGCACCCCACTCAGCATCCCTGCTCGCCATGCCTTGTTCCGCGCCCGGCGGCAGCAGCAGCAGCAGCAGCAGTAGCAGCGCAGGCGCGTCGTACGTCGGTGACCGCTGGGAGATTCCCGTGACCGCTGGGAGATTCCCGCTCTAGTTTTTCGGGCTGCAGAGTTGGCCGGTGTCGCGTTACTGGCGTGTGTGGGCGGCGGAGGTGTCTGTGTGTATATCAGTCACATTTGCACAGCTGATGCGCGCAGTGCATCCAGCTGGCTTTCCCATGCGGACAGCCTTACCCGGCATAGTCTGGCAGCACAGTTTCCCATGTCGCCGCCTCTCGGCTAAACCCGGGCGGGCGCTGAGCGGTGCTGCTGCGATGCCATTCGCTGAATTTGGCTTATGTACTGGAGAAAGGGTTGAGTGAGCGAGAGAAAGGGTTAAGTGCGCGAAAGGCTTATGAACCGTAGACAGTTGAAGTGTATATAGTGTGTCCGCGCATGGGAGCATAAAGATATATATATAATCTGGGGGTGTGGGAGAGGGGATGAGGTGGGAAGGGGACCAAAAGGGATTCCTTTCCTTCTCAGTGCATAAAACAGCCCTTCCTACAACTACTATATTACACACTACCACAAGTGCGCACCTCGGATCACACAGTCTGAATATCACATTGGTCATCAGAATGGTATTGTATGTTAATAAACAGCATTGTGTTGTATAATATCAAGAGTACATAATAGGAGATACGTACGTAATCTCCTATTATGTACTCTTGATAATATCATTGACAATCAGAACATGGTGTTATAACAGAAGCGACAACGTTGTCTGCAGGTCTCTCATTAGTCAATTGTTTGTGTCATATTTCAGGATGTGCTGAGGTCGTGTATAGAGCAGGTTGAGGAGACGGTGAACACAAGTCTAAGCACCGTCGACCCTTTAGAACAGACGCCCGAGAAGACGCGGAGTCCGAGCGCCAGCCAACTACAGCCCGAGACGCCCACTGACGTCAGAGAGGTGCACTTCTGAGTGACGTCATCGGCCGAACTGGCGCCATCTGGCGGAGTCCGCGGGAGTCTTTCGGAGGAGCTTGCTACGGTTCTGGGTCTAGCGAGAGGAATGTCCAGCTGGGCGGAAGACGCTGCCGCGAAGGAGATACGCGATGCCCACGGGGCTGCGAGGCAACGACAGCGCTGACCAGGCCATCACTTGGAAAAGTGTGGCCTGGACGTGGATCAAGCTAATGGGGACCAAGCCTGCATGTAGTGGGGCACACATTTATTGTGATTTTGTGTTTTTACTAGACAGAAACGGGTAACGTGATCAATTATACGCGTGTGCGCGCGTGCATGAGAACCGAACCGAACGTGTTGGCCCTAACAAGTTTTGCCTGCACGCGTTGGCTATGTGCTATTAGCTTAACACACGTTTAGCTAACCGGGTGGTCATAGCCGCATGGCCTGGCTGTGAAGTTGTGCGTGTGCATGCCGCATGTACGCTTGCGGGTGTGTTGGTGGCGCTTCTTGGCTGCATGCAGTGAGCCTCGCGTCGGCTAGCCAAGGCCCGTAGAGACGAATCGATAAATACGAAATATAGAAAGACAGGAGAATCTCGCCCGGCTACTGGATGGATAACGTGAAGGCGGGCTCCCATGCAAAGCGCCATCCACTGGAGCTGATGTGCAAGAGCTCAGGCGGAGGCGCCATCTGGTGGGGAAGGGGGTAGTTGTAATCCGGCTTGCGGTCTATATATGTTTAATTCCATCAGCGGAGATGTATGTATAGTCGATGTGATTTGCGGTGCAAATGTAAATCTTGTATATAATGTGATATGATGGGAGCCTTTTGAGATATTATTAAGGGAGGGCCGCTCCGTCAGATCGGGGCGAGTCCAAGTGCACAATCGTAGCGGTTTGTCTAGAGTAGAGTATCGGGTTTTTATCAAGTTCACCTTTACTGTGGTATTATGCGCAATGTCAACCTAACGGGTGAATACCATCTAACCATCCATTCACGCGAGCGCGTATTTCGTGCGCTCCCGATCCAACGCACCTTACATGACCAACCTTATAATACGATGCTTTTAACTGCCGTTTCTCTTGAACCTGCTTTAGCTTGTTCCATTTTATTGTTACACTGCGCGGGGGTGCGCGTATGGTGGTATGTGCGTGCGTGCATGTGTGTGTGTATGTGTGTGCGTGTGCGTGCTTGCTTATTCGTGCGTGTGTGTGCGTGGGTGCTTATATTCGTGCGTTTGTGTGGGTGCGTGCTTATTCGTGTGTGTGTGTACCTGCGCATGTTGACTACGTGTTATGAGGACGTATGTGTTATGAGGTACGCCTGTATGAGTGCATGCGTGTATGTATTTGTTGGTGAGACCGCATGGGCATTGTTTGCAGTCGTACTACTTCTACTAGTGATCTTGGTGAGGACCTGTACGCAGTCAGTTAAATACAGTCATGTGCTAGTAGTGTGCGAAGTACGTGTCAGGCCGTGTACTTCGTCTGTGTATACCTCTCTCGTTTTATCCAGTCATGGTGATTTTGCAGCTTATCAAATCTTGCTACTTCTTTGTGCAGTGCAGCAATACGCTACCTCGTTTTCCGAACCTCCACCTCCTTTTTATGATCAGGGAATGGTTTTAGACCCGCGCCGTTGTTACGAACAGTTGGAGCAATGCAATCTATGCGTTCGTGGGGGCGGGGCGGGCTGGGTGGGCGGGCGGGGGGGGGGGTGGGCTAGACGATAGGGTGGAGCGAGGACAGTACCTCAACGACGACAGTCGCAACTGCCGATCGTCCTTCTCCAATTACACCTGATGGCTTCACATTCTCTCAGCATCCGTTTGACAGAATCGTCGTAGTGTGGTATACATCCCCCCATTACCAATGTCCTCGCCTCTGCATTGCGCATAGGTATGATCATGTCTAGCAGGGCGCATTGCGCATGGGCATTTGACCTTTACTGCTCATACGTAATGTAGAGGGGGACGTTTGCTATAAGTGTGTGTGTGGGGGGGGGGGTATACCACGCTGCGCCGTTGTAGTGCGGAGAGGAAGGTAGCATCAATCTTTACTCGGTGTTGTTTGTCATTGATCTTGTTCGGCTTCTCTCGTTTATTGACCGTTAATCATTCTGTGAAATCCGCATCGCAGACGTTTTTTACTATCGTGAATAATGTCCTGAATTTCTCGGCAACGATAATGTTATGTAGTGTAACGGTAACCGATGCTTAGACAGGAAAAATACAATATCGATCGAGTGTTAAACGGAGGCTGGTGCAACCTTACAGCATTTTATTTTAGATGGTTAGTTCTTTATTGTGCCCTCGCGCGTATTATTTTGTAATTTTATTTTTGCAACTCAAGCACAACAAGATCGTCGTCTTCCATTGTTGTACAGTTTGCTGTTGATTAATTTTCAGTTTAATCATGTAAAGTTGGTAGCCGGTCCACCGCGACCTGGTTTCGCGGTAGAGATCGGCAAGGTATGCATGTTTTTGCCTGCGCGTACTCCAGTGTCAGTGTTCACTTGTTTTGGCGACGAGGGTCTCGCCGAACAAGTGAACGTGCCGAGGAGATCCCGTAGAATGCACGTTGTTGTGTCGTCGTCGTCGTAAATTATTAAAGCGTTTAGCATGGTGATAGTTCCCTCCTTTTTATCAGTTCGTATTGACTTTCAAACTTTCAAATTAGAGCATGCGCATGTAACGTGTTTAGATAGGAGAAACTTTTCGTATGAGAATCGCTATGAGGGGATGTACTGACTTAATATACGTACGCACGCGTTCGTGCTTGCGTACGTACGACCAGCTAAACGTCTTTCAAGCGTCTCAAAATAGTCCGAGTTTTGTGTTAATCGAGTTTTATTATCACCCGCTGTCAGTCTCAGCTGCTCTGACGCGATTACTTTAGATCTGGCTCTCTCTCTCTCTCTCTCTCTCTCTCTCTCTCTCTCTCTCTCTCTCTCTCTCTGCGTTCTTCCATCTCTCTGCGTCCTCTCGCTCTCGATCGCTCTCTCGCTCCTTCTCTCTTTTCTTTGTCTCTCCTCGCCAGTGTCTCCGGTCTCCTCTCTTTTCTCCTCTCTCTCCCCTCTGTCCGCTCCTTTGCTCCTCTCTCTCGTCTCTCTCTCTCGGAGCTCTGTCTCCTCTACTCTAGCTCTCTCTCTCCCTCGTCCTCTCTCTCTCGTCTCTCTTTCTCTTCTTCTCTTACGCTAGCGCACATCAAAGTCGCCAGCAAAACGGGAATTTTGTTTTCCAGCGTTTTCGCGTTCTGCTTCGAGGCGACAAGCAGCACAATCGCCACCCGCACAGCAGCCACACTGAACAAAACATACAGAACACTTGCGGTACAGCGCCGCTGTCACATGACATCAAAAATAGCCATCCAATAGACATCCTGTGTCATGTGATATTTTTAAGGATATTGATTGGAGACCGTCTGTGGCGTTTCGCTGTGTAGCAGAACGATTGACGCACACACCCGAGCAAAACGTACGCTCAGGCGAAAACACGCTCCGCGAATCAAACATTGCTTGTTCAGCGAAACACGCTTAGCTGAGCAATGTTTTTTGTTTCGGGAATCTGCACACAGCCACGAACATCGAGCGAAACACGTTTTGCTCCACGTTCAGGTGTTTTGCTCGTGTGTGTGCGTTATGCTTTATTCTACCATTCAAAGGGAAGAGAGCGCGCGCTAGAGAGAAAGGACAGAGAGAGGGAGAGGGAGAATGGGCTGGGAGCGAGCGAGAGACCGCGATAGAGAGAGAGAGAGAGAGAGAGAGACTGGCCAGTCGGCGTGGGTGCGCGTTATGCTACCGCGCTCTATTACTGAGCGTATATTATTTCACTCGTTGGACGCCATTGTCCCGAATTTAGGCCGTCCGCGCCTCGTGGCGTTCTGCTTATAACCGCTGTTGCTGTTACGTGTTTACATTTTCCACAAACTATTTTTCGTATTAGTTTTATGAATTGCATGTACGCTGTCGGATTTTACGTTAGTTCGGCGTTCGGTGTTCGCTAGAGACGTCGTCGTGGAGTGGTGCGCATGCGTACGAAGAGACGGAATGTTGTAAATTTCCGCTACTCGCTCTGCGCTGGCTATATATGTATATATATATCAAGAGCTAATAATACCCATGAACTTAGTCTAGACTCGCAGACAAAGTAGAATAATATTGCAGTCAATTAGCACTGTTTTCCCGTTTTCCCGTTGTACACTCGAGGTACTATTAGCTCTGGATATATATATATATATATATATATATATATATATATATGCGTCAGTGCTATCCACTCACGATCACTGAATCCTTGTGTATTTGTATGGAGTTCGACACCTGTCGTGGTTTTGAAATTTTCATCGCTGCAAGCGGCAAAGATTCTCGTAGACGCGATCAGCTGCAAATTCGGCTGGTTGAAGCGCGAGAATGTATTTTGTTGTGTTATTTTCTCTGAACACCTCTCGATGCTGCGCGGTAGTGCTGGTGTAATTTGTTCCTCACCGCATTTCGAGCGTGTCGAGGATGAAAACTAGCCTTCTTCGTCTCATCACGTGCCAGAATGGCGGTCGGCGATCTGTAGTTAAAAGTTGCGTTGCTAAGTGGAACTGAAATTTTTTTCTCTAAATTCTGTGCTTTTGCGCGTTTCATAGTTTATTATCACGCGAGAAATGATTGTTATTCCCTGTGTTTATGCGGTCCCGTTACATTAATTCCCGTTGCGTAGACAAAGCGGACATGTATAATTGTATTCTTATAATTGTATTCCGTAAACATTCCGTGAGTATACGATTAGCAACGAATCTTGCACGTGATTGATTGCGTAGCGGTTGAGATTGTATCGCTCTGGGATCATCGCTTCGTCGGTTACTAGTTTACATACATGAGAATTTTCCGCGGATCCGCGGATTTCCGCTTTTTAAATTATTTTTTTAAGGATAATGAGAAATTGCTTAATTCGTGTAGATCCGTTGAGAACGAAGTGGGGGGTTGAGGTTAGTCAATGATTGACGTTCGGTACTGGTGCATCGTAAAAGCATTCAAATACCGGACGATCAAAAGTAAGACTGTTCCACTTGGTCGATCTTGCGATGGTAAATTTATTTTCATTCGTCAATTTCCCGATGAATGATGTTAATGCTCCAATCGTTCTCCATAAAAAATCCATTCTCAGGTACTCTCAGAATGCACCAGTCTAGCTTTAAAATTGTAAAATTTTCTACGAGAGGGGAGGGGCACATTATGTTCACTATGTGGGATACTAATATCCATTTGGAATACCAGAAGCTTAGAAGCTAGTAATCCACTTGGATACAAGACGAAAATTCTAATTCTGGGTCCTATAACTGGAGGAAATTTTAGAAAATTAATTGGGGTTTATGTGAAAGCTCAGGATTGCTCTCCTGCGTTCATTTCTTTCAAAATTTTCCCGGGGAGGCCCACGTACCCGCTCTCAGCGTGAGGCTCAGTCCTGCGGCGCTCACTAGGCATGGATACTGAACTGACAAATTTTTGAATCACGCACTTTTCCACTTGTTTGGTCATTCACTGCTCTCATGTATGCTAGTAACATAATATCAGGGGTTAATAATGACAAATTTTCCCTTATTAACCGCTGATAATATGCAGCCGGTAGCGCTAAATCGGTGCGCTACTTGTTGGAATGCGCCGAAAAGCGGTGGTTCAAGAGTGAACCACTGACGCACCTAGTGTAGAACCTTCCCAGCCCCCGTTGCGTAGGGGATGTACGCGACGTGTGTACGTACACGTGAGAGTAGGTGTGTGTGCGTGTGATGTCGAGACAGAGAACGAGGAAGGACGTTTATAGAGGATGTCGGATGGAAAAATCAAGTGCTGTCGATGTTTGGCGAAGGTTTCTGTCGTCTAGAAACCGTAGCGAGTGGAGGAACAGTTTTGTATATTTTTGCGAGTTTGTACATATGTATTCAGAATAAAACCATACAGAGTATCCTAACGTATCGCCTTACTGCTCGCTTTAGGCTTTGTCAGATTTACTTGTATTACACATCGTATGGTACAGTCACCATTATATAAAACCACTATGAACCCTCGAACACTGTCGGAATGGTCATAGTACGCAAACATTATAAGAAAACGTCACAATTAATCAAATGTGTAATAACAAAGCGTATACTCAAATGTTATGACAGAAATTATTACAGTAAAACAAAAATCATATAAGCAGTTTCATGAAGCAACATGCAGTACACCAGATGCAGCCGCCTACACATTGGCACGAGCTGTAACTGCAGTATCATATGTACTGTACTCTAACATAAACAGCGCAGCAAACACAGTCCCACTTTACGAAAAGAGCCGGGTCCCCGTCGCAAAAAAATATAGATAACCTATTTAGTACATTATCTCCATGGTCTATACATCAGATCAGTGAGTGTTTAGTCGTCGTCACGCATTTACTGCTATTCTCAGCCATCAGCCATCCCTTGTGGACTCGCAACCACTCCTCACAGATTAGCTCTAAGACACGACGATGTATGTCGTATATATATATATATATATATATATATATATATGGGAGTTTTTCTCACCACCCGCATCGCGGCCAAGTCTTCAGATATCGCTTCTGGCGTTGCGCTCAAACCTAAACAGTTTGCAGTGCGGGGGCGGTCTTTATCGATCCGACATACAAAAATTTTTTAACCGTTTGTTCATGAGTATCGGCTGGGTGTGTGTGTGT